CCCCAAGAACTTCTGTGCAGGCTTATCAGAACTGCCAGCTGACCAACATCTTATCAGGACTATGGCCTATCTGGAAATGCTTCTTGGACAAATCTCACCGTCTTGACGTCAAATGCATATGTAATGTGTTTATAAATGTGCTTGCTGGTAGAGTTTTTGATGTCTCAAATTGTCAAGATATGAAGAGATCTTTCTTGTAATACCACTATCCATCCTCATGGCCTTTTCCTTTTCTTTCTATCTAAAAAGTATTCTGATGAAGGATAAGAGACCCTGCTCCTGTAGCAGCAGCAACGTGCACTCCGCCCATCTTTCGGACGACTTTAATAACATATCTCACTATTTCTCGGTACAATGAAAATAAAGCTTATTCTGATTCTGATTCTCCCAAAAAGAAACTCCAGATGACATGATTTATCCCTTTTTTGTGGCAAATCAAATGTAGAATTTTTAAGATTTCAATTGGCGCTTTAGCCTTCTCTGGTTGGCAGTTGAAGAAGAAACGTCTCGTTATTCACGATGCTGGACAACAGCTAACAACCATGCAAGTGTTTAAACAAAATGGACGTCGACAACGTTTTCACAGGGAGCAGCTGTCCTTTCTAAGACATCAACACTTAACAGAAGCAGGGAAACATGGTGGTAATGGCATGTGGCTCTGGCTTTTTTATATCCAAGAATGATTTTTATTTTTTTTAATGGAGTGAATCAATGGCAGCTATGGCTTACATAAAGTTTCCTACAGATGTTTGTGGTCCCCAGGAGAATGAGTTTTGATGACATTATCCTCCTACTAGCACCACTACCTTTAAATGATAGTTTTGTGAACGATTAATATCTTAACTGAGCCAATATCTCACTGTGCCTCGACTGACAACAACACATTTCCAACAGCTTTGGTGAGGAAGTTTCCAAAATGTCTGCAACATTTCCGTGGGTTCTCGATAAAGAAGACTAAAGTTTACCATCATCACAGTATCGGGGTGTACAATATGACGATGGAAACACTCTGAGTCTCCAAAGGTTTCACGCAATTAGAGAGATTCATTATGACAGCGCCAAGACACTGAGAACCACAAAACCTAAAGGAGCCATCTTGAAGTCACCAACGCTCCGATGGTCTAACAACAACCAGAATCTTCTGAACCAAACTACACGTCACCAAAAATTGTACTTTTAAACATTCCTACTCCCCAAATGAGTAATGCACTGGTGCGAGTATTTGTACTTTACTTTTTATTAGACTTGGAGATTGTAGAATTGCGCCACTCGAGGTGGCTGCATATTGGAGTAGCTCTTTCTGGAATATTGCTTTTGAAAACTTTAATTCCTCTTTTCTTTCTGGATGTAAATCACGTTTTTTGGATGATTGTTTCCTCTGGTATTGGATGCTGTGCAGCTGGAAGGATTTTTACTGAAACCTTTTTACTTTTGGACATTTGTTATGAAGCGTAACTATGACAACAAGGTGTTTTTTTTACAATCGGGAGCAGCTGATTAACATCTCAAAAGCTAAAATAATACCTCCACTACAGCTCCAAATCCCAAATGAGTTGAAAAGGAGGTGCCGTGGATGAATTCCCGTCAACCTGGCGGCGGTGCTCGAGTATCTGACCACCGATATCCTAGTGCTGGCGGGAAATGTGGCTCGTGACAAGAAGAAGACCAGGATCATCTTCCGACACCTACAGCTGTCTATCCACAATGACGAGGAGCTCAACAAGCTGCTGGGAGGAGTGGCCATCGCTCAGGGAGGAGTTCTGCCCAACATTCAGGTGGTCCTGCTGCCCAAGAAGGCCGAGAAACCCACCAAGTCCAAGTAAACTGATCAACATCTGTATCCAATTTCTTCAGATCTGCTGTAAGACAAGATGGCTACAAGAGATCCTTCATTCCCACAGAATCTAGAACAACTCTTTAATGAAACCAGGATGAGTTGCAACATTTTATTTCTCTTTGGGATTAATAAAGTATTTTTGAATCTGAAATAAACTGGATAATTATGACTCCAGGAGGATAAATGTTGAGATTCAGCTTTCCACTCACATTTTAAAGAGACAAGACGCTTTTTGAGGACAATAATCTTTGCTTTTGGACTGAGAGACGGTTAGACTGTTTGAGTGAAGGGCAAAAAAAGTTGTCATCACATCAAAGGGATGGACTCAGCATCTACTCTCATGCCCTGACTGTCCCCTCCGAGCTGTTTTACAACCAATCTCGCCTCGAAACGTGATCAAAACACTTCACGTGCTGGTCTACTGGGGACAAAGACCTAATGGATTCACAAAATGAACAAGTGAGTCATTATCAATGCAACTCCCACAACCTTGTTCATTCTGATTGTCCCAACGATGGCCTGTATGTCTAAACTCCTTTATTATGAGTGAGGAAACCAGATGAGAGAAATGAGACCTGCTGAAAATGGATGGAAAGCTAAGACAGCTGAGAGGATGAGGAATGGAGGGACATGCCAGAGACGGAGGAGTTGGAGTGATGATGGCACAAAGATGAACGTAATCGTATGTTTGAGGGACTAAATCATTTTTGTCCTCAGAGCAGAAGAACCATTCGGACCAGACAGCAGAATGAGCACAGCAGCCAAACTTCTCAGAGTTAAAGAGTTAAATAAAGTTATTGTTTGCTGATTTTGGTTTTGTTTCATGGTAAAAAGCTATTGAAAACTAAAACTGTCCAATCAAACCCAACAAAGTAGACTTTTAATTGGTCCAGTTTTTGGTTGGTACCCAATTCATCCTCATACCTCTGACCCTTACGTTCGCTTTTAATGAAAAATAGGTAAGTTCTGCATACTTGATGAAGAAGTGACAAACAGTAAATCTGTATTTAGGTCAAATATTGGACAAAAACTGGACATTTAAACCCAGTTTGAGAGAATTAAAGCAGATTGTGGCTTAAATCCTTCTCCCTTGTAGAACTTAACAAAATCAGGTTTGTGTCATCTTTTTATTTTAGACACTTTCTGTGTTGATTGTCTACGAAGTTACACTGTTGTTTCTTTTACAGTCCAACTTGGGGATAATTGCAGCTTATGATGATTTTTGTCATTTGCATTGAGTTTCTGCACAATGTGAACCTCTGTTTATTTTTTCACCACGTTCATTCTTAGAGGATTTTAGGATTTGCGTCCTTCTAAGACGGAGTTATCAAATGGACTCCAGGTTTATGTTAACTAATACAGACCAACAAACTCTGACAGTATGGCTCTGCAGATTGTTGTGCAATCCACTGTTTAAAGCAGGAAACAGAGAAGACAGATGTTGGACGCTGAATTTGGTACAAAATCAAAGACCTCAAACTCATCCATGTGTTCTCAGTAAATCTTACGTCATGTCGTGCTCTTACATACCAAAGCTTTGCCTCTCGTTTCTGCTTTCCTTTAATTAATTGATTATAGAATTACTCTTGATTTAACTGTTGATAAAATTTGTGATAGAGTTGGGTGGACAAATAAAAATACCGGTAATCTTTCCCTGTTTTACTTTTTTTTAATTTTTTGTGAAATTGCACCAGACTCGGGTCAAAAGTTCCTCATTTTTAGACCACCCTGTCATAAAAGAGAGGCTATGAAAAGCATCCCAGCATCAGCCTTTTCCTCCAAACACATGGATGATTTGTTGTCTCGTTTTATGATTTTAGAGCATGTGCATTTACCACCAGGAAGCAGCACTTTGAGCGTAGCACAGTTGTCAGCGGTCCAGCCCACCCGAACAGAACGTTGTGAGAGCGTGTCTGAGCCATCTGGGGTCCAGTTCAGTCCAGTCTGGCTTCAGTCTCTGGGGTCCTGGCAGTGGGAGCAGTGGCTCATGTCTTCAGAGTAAAGCTCGACCTGGATGGTGGTGCTGCGGAACCCAAACTTGGTGTGGAGAAGGTCGGTGGCCTCCTGCAGCACCGACTGAGGGTCTGCACCCTCCTCTGAGGTGAGACCAGAAAACACCATTTGTATTTGTATATAAAAAGGGTAACACAAATCTCTGTGCAAAGTATTTAAACAGGAGGCATCACAAAAACATAACAAAATTGATTAAAATCATATTAAAGAGACTAATAATTTAAAGAAAAATGTTTGTATATTACTGAAAAAGTGGAGATAAAAATGTTTATTTTGAACTAAAGTTTTAAATAACCATGCCTGGATAATTAACTCAAACTGTCCAGTGGCAAAAAATACTAAATAAAATAAAATGTTAATGTTTTACTTCCTTTACTGAAGTAAAACTTTCAGTTCTATAAATACAAAACCTTCACCTCATATTGAGCTGATTGGAGGTCATTTCAAAAACGAGATAATTTATTTAGCTGAGATGTAGCATTCATTTTTTTTCTTGGGTTAAAATTATTGTTTTGATTTTTAAAACCTCAATCATTAGCCTGCACCGGGTTCTTTTTTTATTTGTGGGGGGAGCGCAGGAGGCAGTTGATGTCAGCAACGTCTGAGTCAGAAGATCTGAGCCAAAAGGCCCACTTCCTGACCAGTCTCTGCTCCTGTTCTAATCTGACGGGACGTAGATTAAAGCATGAGACCTGACAGAAAAAACAGCTGTTCACACAAGCAGCTGGAGTTATTCTCAGGATCCTAATGTGGCGCTCGGTCATTTACGAGGAGCTTAAAGAAGCAAACTGGAACATGCCCAGGTTTGGTGCTGTAAGTATGAAGACTTCGATCTGCTCTTAGCCACTTTCCCTGTAATTGAATCTTATGTATAGATGGTATGTAAGGCCATAATACAGAAGCATCTCAAATATTAGAATATTGTGGGAAAAAAAATCACTTTTCATTCATTTCAAAAAGTGAAACTCATGAATTACATGGATTCATCACACAGAGTGAATTATTTCTAGCCTTACAACAATTTTCAGTCAGGTCGTCTGGATTATTGATTGATTTTGATTTCTAGCCTTAATTTCTTGTAAATATAAATAATTAATCTTCTTTATACATCAAAGTTAGTCATGGAGTTCCTCAAGGTTCATTGCTTGGACCAGTACTCTTTATATATGTTTCCATTAGATAAAGTTATTAAACAACATGGGATATATTTCCATTGTTATGCTGATGATACTCAGTTATATTTGTCCATGAAACTCAATGAATCCAATCAGCTCCTTAGACTAAAGACATAAAAACCTGGATGACCCTAAATTTTCTGGTTTTAAACACAGACAAAACTGAGGTTTTATTTTTTTGGACCTGAGCATCTTGGGAATAAATTTTGCCGTCCTACACTTCCTCTGGCATTAATCTGGCCTCCGGCTCTAATGTAAAAACCTTTGTGTTGTTTTTGATCAGAATATGTTTTGGCTTACAAACAAAGAAAAAAACTAAATTCAGTGTCTCAGAAAATTAAAATACTTTAAAAAGGTTAAATATTGTAAACTCCTGGTGTCACACTCTAATCAGCTGATTACCTCCTGGACATGAGCTACAACTGTCTCATTCCTAAAGTCCAGCCACTCATGAACCTGAGACAACGCCAGAAGCGTCTTATCTGCTGAGGAGACAAAGAACTGGACTGTCTCTCAGTGGTCCAACATCCTCTTTTCATATGAAAGTAAATGTTCATGTCATTTATAAATGAAGGTCCCAGGGTTTGGAGGAAGACTGGAGAGTCCCATCCACGTTGCTTGAAGCCCAGAGTGAAGTTTCCACAGTCAGTGATGGTTTGGGTGGATGTCTTCTACTGGTGTTGGTCCACTGGAGTTTCTGAAGTTCTCAGTCGGCGCAGCATCTAGCAGGACATTTCAGAGACTTCATGCTTCCTTCTGCTGACGAACGTTATGTAGATGTTGATTTCATTTTCCAGCAGGACTCGACACGACCCACACTGACGAAGGTACCGACAGCTGGCTGTGGAATATTCTAACTTTCTGAGACACTGAATGTTGGTTTTTCATTATTTGTAAGTCATAATCATGAAAATTACAGGAAATAAAAGCATCAAGCGTTTGACTTTCTGTAATGAAGCTACAGTTTAACATGAGTTGCACTTTCTGAAATGATTGACACACTGAAGGTTTTCATGTGTTCTTTATGCATGTGCCAAACATTAACCCCTTTATTGTTCCATTCTTATTTACTTCTTAACTCCTGATCGTCTCAGTGAACTTGTAGATCGTCTTTGTTACCTATTGCCAGATGGACAGACACCAGTGACTGTCCCAGAGTCAGAGCCCAGAGGTGCAGAGAGTGCATGGACTTCACAGCTTTCACAGACAGCAGCACCTCCTTCACCGAGTTGAACTCGATTTCTTTAGGAGATCCTGAAACGCAACAAATACACGTAAACGCACGGCAGGTCGAGCACGTCTACCTCGATCTGTAGCTCACGTTAAAACTGACAGAAAGCTAAAATGTCGACAGCAAACGGTGTCTTTAAGTGGTTTGTGCCTCACTGTGTCTGTGACTTTTAGAAGGTTCATTGATGTGTGAAGAGAACTGAAATCTAATGATGTCCCCAGGATGGGACAGCCAACTGTTCTTCTGCCTTTGTCCTACATAATAATCAGAGTAACTATTTCTAAAGGTCCCGCCATACGTTTCCTTATTGTGAGGCACGTCCATGTCGTTTCCTGCAGCCTGTGCAGATCTTAGCATGATGTTCTGGTTTTAATTCCTGAACATGCCTCCAAGTTGTCACGGACTCCCAACACACTAAGCACGGGTTCCTCACGTGCTCATATGATTTGTTTTTGCGTTGGTGTAAAATGGCAGCACTTATTCAGAACCATGCTATAATTTCTTTGTCAAAATAAGTGTATTTTCCAATAGTGCGCTTGAAGTCCTTCACAATATGTAACATGCGTAGGAAAGTAAGAGGAATAAACAACTGCTGCTGATTATTTCTTTGGCTCGTACCTTCCATGAGTATCCTGAAGACGTCTCTGAGGATGGTGAAGGTGGTGCAAAGGACAAAGACAGAAAACAGGAACGTACAGATGGGATCTGCAACTTTATATTCAGGCTGAAAGAGCAAAAGAAAACATCTTTAAAGAGCGAGTAAAACAGACGTCAGATGGTGCTTTCCAAAGTAATTAGGTATTAAAAAGCTCAGGGCAAAAACAGAAAAAAATCTGGCATCTAACGGAAAAGCCTCATTCCTGTACTGTATATGTGAATTTACATTTTGAAACCAGCGTAATGCTTATTTTTTTGCTGTTTGGTATTAGATCTTGTCGTGTGTATTTTATTATTCAATCAAAATGAACCCTTTTCGCTGTGTCCTAAAAAAAATGATCACCGAGTCACTAAAATCAAGTCCTAACAGTCGGATTATCTCTTATGCCGGAGCCAGTATCAAACTAATGTGTCAGCCTCACCCTAACAAGAGTGTGATCTATATCTGACCCGAAAGTAGATGACGGTCGCCGCCACCACCACGCCGATACTCTGCAGCAGGTCGCCGACCACATGGATGAAGGCGGCGCGGACGCTTGTGTTGCCGTGGCCACCGAGGAGCGCGTGGGAGTGGCCGTGGCTGACGGGGCTCTGACCGTCCTCATCGATCTGGTGATAACCGCTGCCGTGAGGGTGGAGGGTGGTGGAGTGATGGAGGATGTAGGCCATGCTGCAGAACCACAGAGATCCATTCATGTTACCTTCGTTATGAGCGGTTTGCTCAAAGCAATTATTTTAATTAGAGGACTAGGGCTGAACAATTAATTGCATTTGCGATAATATCACGATATGATAAAATGAGATTTTCCAATCGCAAAGGCTGCAGTTTGACTGGTCACGTGATCTGGTTATGTGACTTGCAACAACTGAAACAGATGATTTATTGCTTGTGTTCACTGAAACATACATGAGAAGAAGACAATGAAAAATAATCGCATATTAAATCACAATATTGAGGTAAAAAAAAATCACTATTAGCCTTGTGGAGGACTTGAAGAAAAATACACCCATTGTGGTGTATTAAATGTAATTATATATTTTGACATAGACTATATTGAAAGATGAGCCTTAAATTATAACTTTGAAGCTTCAAGCTTGTACCATTATTACTCTGTTGTAGGAGTGCAACGGGCACGTTGACCCATTTTACACTCTGCAGAAGAACTTGTGGCATTTAATGATTCCAGATGACAAATTTATTGAGGGGGCTTCCCAAAGGGTCCGTAGAGTTTAAATACATGGGTATGAACTGTTGCACTCAACCAACGTTAACTCCTTCTGCACCTTAAAGACATCTACACCCTGACAGAACTGATGGATCTCACGAACAACCCAAGGACACCATGTAGATCTTTGCATTAGTGGCCACAGAAGTCATCTGTAGCTAAAAGTGGCCCTGCCTGAAAACATTTACAAAAAATTATTATATCAAAATTTACACCCTGGACAGATGTCATTAGCAAAGTGAGCGTTTGAGCTGTGATGGACAATTGAGCAAGGAGAGATGCAGATATCTTGAAGGAAGATGTGCCAGCCTCTTTCGCATTATGTTTTCTCTCAGACTCTACCACATCACATGTGAGCTCAACATCTGTAACTTCTGTAAAACTGACTGAGTTATAGACAGTTTTGTAAGTAAAGCAGACATCTTGAATCAGGCTAACTCCAAAAATTTATCAATTTTATGATTTACGAGCGTTTCATTAAAGCCCATCCTGTGGTTCGTGAGATATTTTGCTAACAGACAAACAAACAGGTACAATTGCACAGTTGACTACCTTTTATGATGCGGAGTTATACTGTAAATGTAAAGAAAAAATACTTTTGTACAAGATGAGCAGTGTCAGACCAAAGCTTTTAGATTATTGTATTGAATAATTATTTAAACCCCCACAAATCATAGAATTTTGTCTTAATATAATATTTAATGTAACTGTATATGTTCAGTAGAGCTGTAGAAAGTGAATTAAAGGGACATTTTTAATTCTGCTTAGCTACCATCCCCCCTCCCCCAAAAAATACAAGTACAAGGACTTCATTCATGTAGTTTTTTAAAACAATCTTTTGTATTGTGCAGTTTAAATCAAATTTTCTGCTTTTTATGATACAACATTGATATGAACTAACAAGACAGTTGATTATGTGAACAGATATTGGGGTAGGAATTACTCACATTATATTTACGACGACAGCAAACCCAGAGGTCAATAACATCACGTGACCTTCGATCTCATAGTCGTTGCGTACGATCCTCTCGATGGCCAAATAGACCAGAGCTCCGGTAACTATCCAGATGGACATGACGGATATGAACGCTCCAAGGATCTCTGAGGGAGGAAAACAAGCAGCGCTCACTTTAATGTGTGCGGACCGTTCATCAGAGCCGCTACAAGCAGCACCCTTCACAAAGCAGGATGAGTTTTCTCAGTAAATTCACCACCGAGTGTCCTGTCTTCACATTCAGAGCTCTGAATGCTCGTTAGTTGTTATCAGACCCGTGTGAGACGCTGGATTCAAATCTACGTCAACAGAGCTGCCAGTTAAAGTCCTGAAATGCTAAAAATTAGGGATGCACGATATTATCGGCATGGTATCGTATCGGCTGATATTAGCGATAAAGTTAAATATTGGACATCGGCCATTCCATCAAATAAACAAAACCTCACCGATATAAAAGCTTCTGCTTTAAGTTAATTTTTAATATAAGCAGCTGTCTAGTAAATCTATTAATGCACTACTACTCATGCGCATCTTTTTTTTTTTTTGTTTAGATTTGTGAACATTTACAAATTTGCACTGTCAGAGTGTTGTCATTGTGTTAGAGAGAGTAAGTGCCATGAATAAATTTTACATTAAAGATAATCCAAGTTGAAGTGTTACATCATTTTCCGCCCTCCCTTTTGGCATCTGCATTTGGTCGCAGGCCAAACTGACGAAGACCTGCAGAATAATGTAATATTTTAATTTCACAGCAGAGAAAGCTGTGTAGTCTCTGTAAGTAGGTCTAAGGGAAAAATATCGGTATTGGTATCGGTTATCGGCCAAGTAAGTTTTAATGTATCAGATATCGGCCAAAAATCCAATATTGTGCATCCTTCCTAAATATTGTTCTTTTTATTGCAGTAAATTTACAAACCAAAAAAATATTTTTAGTTTGACCAAAAAATACACAACTATTAGTTGTTTGTTTGTTTGTTTGTTTTTTGATAATGGCAATTCGAGACTCAAACCTGAAGAAAACTTGTGGATGTCCTGTGTTTGATCATATTTTGTCAAATTAGGTTTTGCAAAACTCTGAATGTACAATAATTACCACTTCTCAAGGACATTTTAGGTGTTTTGTTTCCTTCCTGCGTGCAATAAGTAAGTCAAACAGATAATTTTTAGTCTGTTTTTAGAACATTATTAGCTAATGTTTGTTATCCTGAGATACTGGAACTCATTCATAACATGTATGATGAGTTTGTCCAACTTTCCTCCAGTTTACACCGTCTTTTAATGAGTTTAATACTTTGAAGTTGTGCTTTTTAACTGAATGATGTGACCACACTTAAATCCCTTTGTAATGATTTTCAGGCCTCTTATAAAACATCGTGGCTGAAAAACACGTTCTTTCAATTTTTAAAATGTATTTTGTGGTAAAGTTATCGATTTGAGTTGCTTCTTTGCTTCAGTGCTTCATTAAGGAAATGAAGCAGTTCATGTCTGTGCTTTGATCTTTTGTACGTTTAACTGTTTGTAAAGAAAAAACAACTATAATTATAAAATAATTTCTGAGTTTGTTGCAGCTCCTCAGACTGACGAAGTCTTCTGGATAAAAGACGAAACGTTCCAACAAGAAGAATCCGTCCAGAGGACCTGGCTCAACCTTGTTGGATTAATCTAGCTGGATTATTGAGCAGCATCAGGACTAGGTGAGGAGTTTGCTTTCCTCTGTGGTTCTAAACACTTAAAACAATAAATGAATCTTTCTTGACGCAGTAAGTCATGCAGATAAGTCTGATCTGATTTGCTGACCTGATCTGTGCCACCCAAAGTTCATGGTTTTGGTTGGTGGTCTGGATGAGATCCACAGAGAGAACAGGCTCACCATCATACTCCCAAAGTCTGTCAGGAGGTGGGCTGCGTCCGTCATGATGGCCAGGCTGTGGGCCAGGTACCCCCCTGTTGGAAAGCAGAACAAATTCTTTACATTCACTCTGGGTGTAAAGAAACATTTGGCCAAATCACCTCTGTTCACGAGAGATCCTTTAAAACTGCGTGACAGAAAAGTAAAATAATCTTTATCACATTAATCTTGAAAGGATGAACAAAAGTGGAATTTAAAGCAAATGATCAAACTTTAAATTAATACACTTCTGCCAAGGGGAAAGGAAACTTTACTGTTTTACTTTATTTCATCTCCATTATTTGAGCTGTCACTCGGTGTTTCTACCTTTGCTTTTTATTCTTAGAAGCAAAAACCAGCTTCCCCCAGGGATTTATTTTTTATTCTTTGAGAGTTTGTCGCAAACAGAAATTATACTTTAAACAAAACTGTAGCATCACCCGAGTGGAGCCTTTTTCCAAATGTAGCATTATAGGATGTAAAACCTCTTGTGACACGTCTGTCAAAAGATTGTTTTTGTGAACTATTTGATTCCTTCAGCAAATTTGTCAATGTATTTGTTGTTTTAAGTGAAGAATGTTTTTTTTTTTTTACTTTATCTTTAATAAATCTGCTCGTTACAGTGCAGGTGTTGCACAGACTTTAAGCCCAGAGCAACATTTGTGGACGGCATCTGTTCAGCATCTGTTGGAGGATTTAAAGTTCACCAGAAACGTGTTTTTAGCCTTTTCCCCTTAAAGCAGCGCGCTCAGAATGCATTTGTATCAACTGATTTATCTTGGAATGAGTAACAAGCAACAAGGAGTTGCTGATGTTTCATCGGCTTTTTTTTAAAACATTGATGATAAGAAATATTAAATGTGCGGCAGTCCTTCAAGAAATGTGTATCGCTCGCTGCTTCTCATGTCAGAGTCTAAACTAAGATCATCTTACCCTGAGAAAAGAGTTATAGAGATTTGGTCAAACCAATGACTTTTATGTCGATGACTGTCAAATTTACTTCTCTTTACTTCACACCGGTGCACGCTCTCTCTCCATCCAACCTCTTCTTGACTGCCTGGCTGACATCAGGGACTGGAAGGCTTTAAATTTCTTAAATTTGAATGAGAAGAAGACAGATGTTGTTTCCACCTAATGGCACAATCAAAAACCACTGTATCGACCTTTCCTCTCTATCCCCGTTAGAGAAACAAGTTGTCACTAATCTGGGAGTGAAAATGGACCCTTCCATGAACCTGAAATCATGTAAACAAGATTGTTAAATCCTGTTTGTTTGTTTGTTGTTTCAGTAATGCATGCTTTCCCATCCAGGCTTGATTACTGCAATGCACTTCTTATTGGAATTATTCAGACACTTATAGCACATTTACAACTGGTTCAAAATGCTGAGAGCACATTACACCAGTTCTGGCCTCCCTGCACTGGCTCCCGGCTCACTTTAAACTTGTTCTGTGTTTTTAAATCTCTTAACTGTTCTGCCTCCTCCTATCTCACTGATCTGCTGCAGCCATATCTCCCACAGCGCTCTCTGATGCCAGCAGACCAGATGTTTTTATTGGTTCCAGGAACTCGTTTTAAGCTGAGAGGTGACAGAACCTTCTTTGATGCAGGTCCAAAACTGTGGACTGAGTTACCCCTGCATGTTAGGCAGGCTCCTTCTCTTACTGTTTTTAAGTCTCATTTAAAAACTCACTTTTAGTCCCTGACTTTTGACACTGTGTGAGTTGATTTTAAGTTCTGTGTATTTTATAAATGAAGTCATTTAGTTTCTTATCTTTAACTCTGTGGATCTACTGGTATGTATTTTATGGTATGTTCTGTCTAAACCTCAGGATTACAAGACCGCAGCACTGACCACCGAGCTACCGCAGCCCATCAACCAGTTATAGATAACCATACAATAACTACCCTGATGCATGTTCAATAATCCAGGTAGAAAAATGTAAAAAAGCTAAGTCAGGTCCTCTGGATGGGTTCAAAAGACGGAAGAAGTCTTTCAAATGAAAGACAAAGTGTTTCTACAATTTTTTTAACCCATCCTGAGAACATGACAACTTTTTTAGACATACAATAATTACTTTCTGAGAGTTTTAATTGAATATATCTAGTGGTTTGGGGGCTATTTTGCTAACAGACAAACATGCCTGTGTGTAGTGTAGCACTCAGAGTATATGTTGGGGATAATGCTCAGCTAATATTTTAGCTACTCACCAAATTTTATCTCAATATCGGAAAAACTGGCTGAGTTGAAGCCATTTTTGTGTTTCCCAAGGCGGCCATCTTGAATTGATTCCCAAAGGAAACAAGGTGTAGATGTACATCCAGTGGATAATTTTTTAGTTTCAATCAAATCCAACCAGTGGTTTATGAGTTATTTTGCTAACAGACAGTCAAAATAAGACGGGCACATACCTATGACCTCTCCGATCATGAAGACGAGACAGACTCCCGAAGCGATGAAAAGTTTCTTCTTTGCCAGCAGCTTGTCGACGCTCTCCTCCGGTACCAAAGCTTTGGGCCCGTGGCAGTGCGCTCCGACTCGGTGCTTCAGCTCGATGGCTCCGGACATGCCCCCGTTCTGTAAGGGGAAGTCTGGGTACGGCTCTTTGGTGTCTGTGAAGGAGCTGTAAGGATGAAGACAACGCCTGTTAATGGTGAGCGTTACGATCCTTGAGTTTAGTGCCGGCTTCAAATGGGAATACGTTGATTATAAAACAACTACGAACAAACATTCTATTTAAAAAAAAAAAATAAATCATGAGGTTTCAGTCCTAAAAGTTTCTGCTCTGTTACATTTCTGACTCGTCCATCTTGTCAGTTCTGATTTGCTGTTAGCTCAGCTACTCTGAATTTATCTATAATTCTCCAAACGGACAGAGTCCAGGCTGTTATCTACTGCAGGTAAGATGCTCACTGCTGATAAGAACTTCACAGAATCCCACCACAAAACAGTTAAACTCTCCATTAAGAACCTAAGATGCTTAATAGTAAAAAAAAAAAAAAAAAACCTAACATATTTTGTGCCAATTAGTCTGTTTTTATATTTTTAACATAAATTCTCAAACAAAAATGCATCACACTTTTTTTTGTAGATTTAGTCACATATGCAGTTCATAAAAATATATTTTCTTGTTTGAAAATGTAATTGGTTATTAGTTAGTTATGATTATTATTTCCCAGAGTAAATTTTTTAAATCCGCCGTTATTTTTCCACAGCAATAATTCCTAACCATGTTCACCTTGTTTTTTTAGATTTGTGTCCTGATACTACAGTAAATATTAGCTGGTACATAGTACACTTAGGGTGCTTGAATCAGTAAAACTGTAAGTAAATATCAGAATAATTTTATAATTTAGGTTAATGTGTATAACTACAGCAAATGTACATGTGAGTGTAAAACTGTTAGTGCTGTTCTTTTTGTGGACAAGTGCACATCTTGCACTTAACAATTAAATCTATTTAGAGTTGATGGACTGAAGCAGTTTCACAGTAACCACTGCATTTAATAAATTAAATGAATAAAATGTTTTGTATGTTGTGTAGCCTTGATTTAGTCATTTGTTGTTTAGATCATAAAGCTAAAGTTTTAAAAACAGTCAGATTTTTAGGAGGAGAAAATCCAGCTGAAGTGGAGAACCTGGTCCTGGATCAGACAATTTGTGGCATGTTGTCTGGTCAGCAGCACCGAACTGTATCAGGTGTTTGCAGGATTGATTTTCTGGAGTAAATGTTGCAGCAGAGAGTGTTATCGTTTCAAAAAGCTACAACGCTCCGCAAAATACGAAGCTGACAAAACGTTCTGCAGTCAAGGTTCACTTACGTGGATGAATGGTGGTGATTTGGGTCATTCAGAGACAAAAAAGCAATAAAAATTGATTGATGTTGGCTGTAAATAAGAATAAACACAGTTTTTATTTAAATGACAGAACTCTGTCTTTCACTGACATACAGTATTTAAAACATTTCTTTCTGTGCACGTATTTCAGTACTTTTGTGAATACTCCAAGTCTATAAATCACAGGATATTGCCAATGTGGCTCTGATTGTGTCGGGATGTATTTGAGTTCATTTAGGTGTCAAAAATTAGTTTTTTGAGAAGTCCAATTTTAAGGGACAAAACTTTCAGTTGGGTAAATTCATTATCCTACTGGCTGTCAAAGCTGAAGACTATAGCGGTAAACCTGACACGTTTAATTCAAAGAAATATTTGTTTTTTGCAACCTACGTCATAAGTGAACATCGCCACTCAACAGGCAAACTGAATGCGCTCCGTCTTTTCTCTGCTGCTGACTCAAATGTTTAAGATGGAAATGGAAAATACAGAGAACAAAAGAAAAGCCAGACTTCAATTTAACCATGACAGGGTGCTTCAGGATCTCTTCATGGTGACGAGTTAGAGCTGTGGTTCTGCAACGTTTCTTAACGAGTATTACCTGAGAGAATACTGAGTACCACCATTATGGACTTTCAACGCAGTTGATAACATTTTTTCAACAAAGCGACAGGGTCCTGGAGAACCCTCATGCCCTGCTGAGACACAGGCGGCAGGATACGTCACGGATCTGATGTGCCTTTCTGTATTGTCTCAGGACGCAGAAGATATTTATATCATTGGAATCATGATAGCAGGGTTCCTGCTTTTTGGCACCAGTGGATACTTATGCTATCGTCTATTAAAGAAGACGGCGGCAGCAGTTTTGGCTATGCCAAAGCTGTCGACCCTGTCTGCAAGTTTGGTTCGTGCTTCTAGTACTCAAAATCAGCTCATTTACGAGCTAAACCGTGAGATAGAAGCTATTTGTGAGAATCGCAGGCCACTTGGGCTTCTGGGACTCGCCAGCATGTTGGGAATGACTTTGGAGGGAGCTAATAAGCATGGACCAGTGAATAGCCACAATTCTGGCCATTTTGGATTAAAAAGTACCAGCAGAACTCAAGGCTGACCAGAAAAAACAGTCTGCCTGAAAAAATCTACAACTATGGCTTATCTGAATCTGACTCCCCCATTGGGCCTCAAATGGCCGACACCAAATTTTTCCTGGGATATGTGTAAATTGAGAAAGCTGTCTATCGCAACACCAATACTGAAAAACCCAAGAATATAGTCAATTATAAAAATCTACTTAGTGTAGCTTTCAGACTATCAACCTGTTTAACAAATTTTTAGATAACCTTGTCCTTTTGTGACTTTTTATTGTAATTGTAATGCCTATCTATTACCAAGGAATCTTTTATCTATCTGTTAGGTTGCAGTGATTTAGTCTTAAAGGTCCCCCGTGTATTTTTACTGCCCCTCAGCCAACACAAAAACTGCCCTGGCTTGGAATCAGAAGAGCAAAATCAATTGCGGTCTTTTCAATGTTCATCCCGTCCACGCGCTCAGGTTGCTGTTTTTTTTTACCAAACGCAGTGAGAGGGGGATGCAGTGATAGAGGTAATGAGGTGGAAAAAACTAATTTGGTCTCACTTGAGATAACCACAGACACACTTTAACTCGCACACTTCACTCAGGAGATTGGCTGCGTTTCATGATGTGCCTTTATCACACGAGCGCAATCGTATTAGAGGCCGTCCGAGCTGAAAAGGACCAGCCGAGTGGAAAACCAAGTCTGTTCAATTATTCCACGGGGACCAGAAACACACACTGTAAGCAGATATCAGGTCCGCATGTGACACTGAACCACCATGAAGACGCTGTGCAGCAACACAAATGAAACACACTTTTATCATTGTGTTTTATGTATTCATAAATATACAGTTTATTATTCATGTGCATATGTAATAAAATAACACCTCCTCTGTTTAACTAGTGAGGCACCTGGTGTTTGGTTGAATCATGTTTAGTTCCATCCTTTTTAGTTATTTTTGGGTTGTTTATCTTTCAGTGTGTGTGTGTGGGGGGGGGGGGGGTAGGTTTTGGTTGTGGGCAGCATGGTGGTGCAACTTGTAAAGCTGCTGTCTCTTAGCGAGAAGGTTGCCGGTTCAACTCCCAGTCCGGGGACCTTTCTGGGTGGAGTTTGCATGTTCTGTCTGTGCATGCGTGGGTTTTCTCCGGGTACTCCAGTTTCCTCCCACAGACCAAAAACATGCACGTTAGACTGATTGGTGACTCTAAATTGTTCCTAGGTGAGTGAGAGAGTGAATGGTTGTTTGTCTCGTTTGTCCCCATATGTCCCTGTGATGGACTGGAGACATGTCCAGGGTGTATCCCGTCCTTTCGCACAGTGAATACTGGATAGGGGCACCGGCGACCCCCGTGACCCAAAATGGAAGAAGCGGGTAAAAGATAATGGATGAATAGATGGTTTTAGTTGTGTTCCTCTGTGGGGCGGAGTGGGGGCGCAGAGGTTAGAGAAGGTAGGCCTGATTGGAAAGTCGCTAGTCCAACTCCCCAGATCGACAACATCAAAACGTGGGTTGGAATGGTGAAACACCCATATCTACCTCCACCCTCGTTTGCCCCTCTCTGGGCCCTTGAGCAAGGCCTTTAACCTCCACCATCTTCTCCCCCGGTTGCTCTAGATGGCAGCTCTGCTCCACACAGAGGGCTGTGGTAGCTCGATGGTCTGTGGTTGCGAAAGGAAGGTCATCTGGCATAAAAACAATCGCCAAGTCTTGGTGCAAGTTAGTTCACTGTGGCGACCCCTGAAGAAGAGAGCAGCTGAACGAAGAAGGAAAGGAAAGCTGTGTTCCCATGTGTTCCTCTGTGTGCCTCTGTGTTCCTCTGTGTGCCTCTGTGTTC